CTGTACATCAGGAAATCATACCTCCTGGCCCTCCCCAATACACCACTTTCTGAGTGTACGTGTGTGGCTATTAAACCGGACAACTCAGCCCTGGTTATGTTTTGTAGAAAGTCAATGACTCCTTTCCCTTGAATTGAGAGGTAAGGATAATGTTTACCAAGCTCCTTGACTGCTTCTATACACTACCCTTTTCAAACCTTTATTTTATTATTTCCTGAGTTTATTGGCTGGTGCCTTTGACATCTTTTGTCTCTAACACCAAGCATTCAGTGAAAATTATCCCATTACCTAAGGATGTTTTTAGGGTATTTCCTGTGTCCTACCCCCTCACCCATCCCTCCTTACACACACAGGAGTAAAGCCACAAAACAAAGTACACCATTAATCGCTTAAACAGGTATCTCTCAACAATATAATGCACTCTGCAAAGTGTAGTGTTACAGTGGTTCTGTGGATTCCAACAGAAACCTAGTTTAGGTAAATACTGCATTTTAAAAAGGAGCAATCCTGGAGTGGGTGGGGGTGGGAGGAGAGGATATTGAAGCTGTAGTGAAGTTTTATTTGGACTCAGATCGCAGCAGAAAGACGACCCATAGAGCTGACTGGAGTCAGTGATTATCGCCTTTCTCACAGGCGATCATGGCTATGTTTGCACACAGCAGCCAGCCAGCCCTGCTCACATGGGACTGGTGTGTATCCGGAGCTCGGTGTGGATTAAAATCTGATGGCTGGTTGTCTTTCTGTCACGAAACCCAATTTGTCTGGAAATCCGATCCCAGACACATAGGGCTATTGAATGTGGGATTGATAGGTTACACAGTTATCTGTGTGTGTGCGAGGAGGCGGGGAGGAGGGGAGGAAGGAGAGAGATTCTTTGAACATTTAATCCAGTTTCTTTTCAAACAAAAGGTTTAATAGCTTTTATCCGGTTTTTATTTCTGCTTCTATAAAGCTTTGATCTCTGTATGCTGTGAAACAAAAAAAAATCCCCTAAAGACTTTAAGGGACAGGCAGGACGGTGTCTGGGGAGATCTGGGGTCGTTTTGATTGACCTGAGTTAATGATTAGCTACAGTTAAACCCTTCTGGGGTAATACTGCAGCCTCTAGGTTTTACACTGACCACCAACCAGCCTGGGACTGTCCCTCACAATAAACACAAGCCCACAAGTGTCACTGTCCGAATTCAGAGAGATTTAGAATACCAATAATAACAATAATACTTGCATTTCACACACATCTATGTCGTTAAGATGTTTCAAAGCGCTTATCAGGGAATATACTGTAAAGTGTAAAGCGGACTTACTATTTTTTTGCGGGCGAAACTTAATTTAAAACCTCAAATTCCTCTGATCTACCTCCCAAACTTCTTCAGCAACTTATTCCATAACTTAACTAAGTATCAGCACGTCAGAGCCAAAACTAAAACGCTGTGCAGTGACTGATCAGATCAGAAATGCACACATTTGACGGACAAATGCTCATATTTCGGAGGTTTTCAGAGTGACTTGACCTGTACTGTGCTGACCTGAGCTGTACTGAGCTGACCTGAGCTGTATTTTACTGAGCTGTACTGTACTGAGCTGACCTGGGCTGTGCTGTACTGAGCTGTACTGTGCTGACCTGAGCTGTGTTGACCTGAGCTGTGCGGTGCTGACCTGAGCTATGCTGCACTGTACTGAGCTGACCTGAGCTGTGCTGCACTGTACTGTGCTGACCTGTGCTGACCTGAGCTGCGCTGACCTGAGCTGTACTGACCTGAGCTGTACTGTACTGAGTTGCGCTGACCTGAGCTGTGCTGTACTGAGCTGACCTGACCAGACCTGTACTGGCTGAGCTGTGCTGACGGCTGAGGCTGAGCTGACCTGAGCTGTGCTGAGCTGACCCGAGCTGTGCTGAGCTGACTGGCTGAGCTGTGCTGACTGACTGCTGACCTGAGCTGGAGCTGAGCTGTGCTGTGCTGAGCTGTGCTGACCTGTGCTGACCCGAGCTGAGCTGTGCTGTGCTGAGCTGTGCTGACCGGCTGAGCTGGGTGGCTGGCGGCTGAGGCTGAGCTGGGTGGCTGACCCGAGCTGAGCTGAGGCTGGCTGAGGCTGGTGGCTGAGCTGGCTGTGCTGAGCTGCCGAGCTGTGCTGGCTGGCTGGAGCTGTGCTGTGCTTGAGCTGACCGCTGTGCTGTGCTGAGCTGTGCTGTGCTGAGCTGACCCGAGCTGTGCTGAGCTGAGCTGTGCTGAGCTGAGCTGACCCGAGCTGTGCTGTGCTGAGCTGACCCGAGCTGGCTGGCTGAGCTGTGCTGTGCCGCGGGCTGTCAGGCTGGGGTGAGTGGGGGTGAGTGGGTGCCTTACCAGCTGTTCCTTGAGTGCGGTGAGAGTCGCCTCCAGGCGCTGCTCCTGAGTGCGGCTCTCGGGGTCCCTCCGCTGCTCCCCCCCCCTCCTGCCGGTGCCGGTGCCGGTGCCGGTGGCGGTGGCGGTGCCGGCGGGGGCTGTGGGCCGGGGGCTGTGCCCCCCCAGAGCCTCCCGCACCAGTCCTCTCTGCCTTTCCCGCAGCAGATGGAGCTCCTGCAGCCCGGCGAGGGCAGCCCGGAGCCGCTCGCCCGCCCGGGAGCGGTCCAGGCCGCCGGGAGGGGAGGCGGCGGCTCTCTCACCGACCGACATCGCGGCCGCGTCCTCCCCGGGGGTGAGGGTGGGAGTGGGGGTGAGGGTGAGGTGGGGTGGGGGGGGTGGGAGTGGTGGGGGGGGTTCGTGATCTGGGCTCCCGGGGGTCCCGCTGTGGCTGTGGCTGTGGGTGAGGGGGAGAGGGGGAGAGCTCGGGACCACAGCCGCTCAATGTGCCGCCCGGAGCAGTGCGAGTACCACCACAGCCGCACCGCACCGCCCCGCACTGATCCCCGGCCACACGCCCACAGCGGTGCTGCTGCTGCTCATCCCCTCCTCTCCTCTCTCCTCTCCCCTCCCACATCAGGACCAGCCTTTAATTGGTGAGGATACATTGCCACCCCCTCTGATCGTCATGCACCCCCCCCCCTCCCCCCTCCCTCCCCACCCGGGGGATGTGCCCTGACCCCCAGAGAAACCCCCCCCCCCACCCCCATCCCACCCCCCACCCCCCACCCACCCCCAGGAGAGGCGTTGTTGCGATAGCCCCCGTGGCGCCTCCTTTGAAAACGTGCCCCGCGAGCCCCCCCCCACCCTCCCACATCCCGAGAGCAGCCCCGGACCCCCACCCCCTGCAGCCCCCGCCTTCCCGGCTCCTCCGCACAGTCCCGGCGGATCAGACCGCGCCAACGGACTGCGTTAACGTCTCGCCTTGTACTCCTCGATCCGAGTCTCAAAAGCTGTCGGTTTGCCCTTCAGTCTGGTGCTGTGCGATAATAATAATAATAATAATAATAATAATCCTTGCATTTGATATAGCGCTTTTCACGTCGGGAGGACGTCCCAAAGCGCTGCACAGAACACACTGTAAAGTGAATTGACTGTATATTTGTGGGCGAACGCGGCAGCCAATTGCGCACAGCAATGTCCCACAAACAGTCGTAGATTGAAAATGACCAATTATTATTGTTTGGGGGTTTTGGAGGGATTATTATTAGGTGTGTGGAGTAAGGAAACTTGCCCAAGGTTTCGCCCTCTGCCTGGAATTGAACTCAGGTCTCTCACTTGCAAAGCGAGTGCTCTAACCACTCTCCCCACATTCCCAGTCCCCGGGAGTATCTCAGGGGGGGTCTTTGCCTACTGGTCAACGCTGGTCACAGGCGTGAGAATGAGTGATGCCCTGAAACCCACCGAAGGACAGGGCAGTCAGTATTCCTGGTCCCAGCTGTCTGAGCCAACCTCAGCTCCCAGATGTTTCAGATACATGTTTAGAAGTTGAAGCAATGTAAAAGGTGAACATGGAAAGAGTTGGGAATTGGGATCAGACCATATAGCTCCCAGTGGAGGAGCCAACTTCAGCAATAGATTTGATGGGTAGCTTCCTTCGTGGTTGTTATTTTACGAGGCTGTATTTTATTGTCGGTCCTTTTAGTTTAGGCACAGGCTAGAAATCTTAGTGGCGAATCACCAGGTCCCATCAATTTAATAATATTTGTATTGATTATAAGCTATATCACATCAATGCATCTCAAAGTGCTTTACTGAATTGACAGTGACTGCACTTGTAGGTGAATACAGCAGCTCATTTGCACTCAACAACGTCCCACAGACAGCCATGAACTGAATGCCCAGTTTTACCTGGAGGATTGTTGGTCATGTCATCGGGAGACATTTCCTTCTCTTTTCAAATTGTACCATGTTAAACATCCACGAAACAGGCAGACGACACCTCGGCTTAATGTCTCATAGGAAGGACGGCACATCCGACAATGCAACACCCCCTCCAGCAGAGCATTGAATTATCAATCTAGACTATTAGCTCAAAAGTTTTAACCCTGACTCCGAGTAGAAAATGCTACCAACTGAGCCAAGCTGACACTGCTTATCCGATGTCTTTCTGTTGATGGAATGAGAGCTATTCGTTCCACCACAGGTAAAAAATAATGTATAAATTGGTTGATTCTCAGCGACTCTGGTTCTGCATTATTAGATGTCACTGAAGAATCTAACATTTTTGGGAAACTTCTAAAGAATCCTTTTAACTTGGGGATGTGACATAATATTTCTCGCGGCCTCTCATACGCTGCCTCTGTTAATATGTTTCTGTCTTTTTACAGAGAATAGCCTTTGGGATCCATTCAATGGGAGCCTGTATTTCGAGGGTTTACGATGCAGGATACACTCCATTGGTGTTTGTGTGCCTGACTCACTGCACAGTAAGTTTTGTGTAAACAAGGCTCCAGATCAGATCTGTAGCAGGGCCACTCTCCTTGATCAGATTTAATATCTGTTCCATATTTACCTCTGCTACCAGCTGTAGGATTTCGTTGAGGCTCAGCCTGACAATGGAAATTCAGAAAAGAGCTAATGCTTTGCGGCGGTCTCAATAGTCTGGTTCCTAAATCAGCGATGTCTGCAGTAGTGTAAGACACTATTGGTGATCGATCCCAAACTAAACTTAATAAAGCTGTAGACACATCTTTCCTTCATAATCATTAATGAGAACTGGCGCCCCCTGCTGGTATATTCGATCTGGTGCGCAGGGTATCGCAGTATGCTGTGTCGATGCACTCAGTGCACAGGCATTAGTATTCTGCATTATTATGAAAATGTATATGTTCAAACTACTTTCCTGTGAAGCATTGTTTAAATTATTAAAGTAAAAGTTGATGTGCGTGGAGGCAATAGCCAGCTGTTACATTTCCAGGGTAATACTCAAGAACTCGTTTACTGCAACATTGGTACATTTTGCAGTCAATTAAACTTGAAACAATACTTGCTCCTCAACCCCCACCCCACTCAGTCTTTGTGCAGTGCCGCAATTGACTTGACTATGTGACAATCTCAACTGTGCCTGGACAGGTTGGTTCCCATCCCAGATGGTACAAATGTGTTTGGGCGTGTCCTGTTTCTCACCATTTGGGTGCTGCTCTGCATCTTAGCAACATTAGTCGATGAGTTAAGGTTGGCTACTTGCTTCTTGCTTAGTTATTGATCCTGTCGGTTTTGTTTTCAGTCATACACAATATAAAGTGTGCACCAGAGCAACGTGACTGGAAAGAATTGGGTGTAAAGCCTGATTAATGACTATGGAAAGGTTCTGCACTATTCATTGCCATTTGTCAAAGAAACTAGGCAGTGTTGGTCTGTGATCAAGCATTGCATAATTCCATAGGGTTACATTGTAATGCCAGATTGATTTGCCCAAGATGAATGTTTAAGAATCAGCCAACTCAAAATAGAGGTAATGCTTTTAAAACCCTGTTTCCAACACTTGAGGATAATTTTATGATATCATTTGCCACTGTTTATCGAAAATAAAGAAGTGTTTCTGAACTTTAGTTGTCTTACAAGACTAAGTGGTTCTTAGAGACCTTAAGTATACCAGACTTTAAGAATATTCATCAAGAACACAAGAGGTTCAGATGATCTCATCCTTTCAGAACACTCCCTTATTGCAGCATCAAGCTGTTTTTTGTTAAATGACTCCAGTGTCCTGGCCTCAAACACTCTTCCCAGTGACCCAGTGCAGCTATTACTTAACTTCTGTGTAAAAAAATCTTAATCTCTATCCTCAAATTGTTCTTCAAAACCCTAACCCCGTGCCCTGTTGTCCCGTTGCCTTGGAGTGTCTGATAGTGCTGTTCTGGGTGTATTTTCTTTATCCTGTAATGTCACAAAGGGGGTCAGAGCAGAAAGAGCAGCGTAGATCTTTGCACAAAGAATTTTGGTATAAATTAACAGGAAGTGTACTGTCTGGCAGCTGTGCTTGTAAACTTGGAGCACCAGAAGAACACAACATGTAGGTGCATTGTTAGACCGCTGAATGATGACACAGGAAATGTATTCACTGAAGTGTTGGGTGGACTGAGAAATGTGAACAATAGGTTGTTCACAAAAAAAGCTGCAGTTACTGAAAATTCTTGTTATGCATTGGATTTCAGTCTGACAAAGAGAATCCTGTCAAAATGTAGAATGGAAAAGAATTCACAGACTGTCTCACTGCATCGCTGAGGCCAATTATGGTGCCCTTACTGCCTGACTGACATCAAGTAACTCAGATCAGATCGAACTGGTGACCTCCCGGGGATGTACAGCTCAATTGAGCAAACTGTCTCAAACCTTCACAGTTAACCATGAGCTTCCATGGAAGCTGGGTAAAAAATGTTTTGTGCATTCAGTTCTATAGTTAGCCAACAAACACAGTCACTTCACTCACTTAAGTGGTTGAAGGTGCATTCAAAGAGATAGGTCTATGATAATAATAATAATAATAATAACCCTTGCATTTGATATATTGCCTTATCATAACTTTGAGACGCTTCACAGAATATATTATAAAGTGGATTGATTGTGTATTTTGTGGACGAAACGCGGCAGCCAATTGCGCACAGTGGTGTCCCACAAACAGCCTTTTTTGACAGGTTTTGACAGCAGAGACGGAGGGGAAAAGGTGGAGGGATGTCGGAAGAGAGTTCCAGTGCACAGCGCCAGAGTGTCTGAATAATAATAATAATCCTTGCATTTTGATATAGCGCTTTTCACGTCTTTTTTTTCAGACATCTCAAAGCGCTTCACAGAATATATTGTAAAGTGCATTGACTGTATATTTGTGGGTGAAATGCGGCAGCCAATTGTGCACAACAGTGATCCACAAACAGTCGTGGATTGAAGTGACCAATTTATTATTGTTTTTTTTTGAGGGATTATTATTAGGCGTGTGGAGTAAGGAAACTTGCCCAAGGTTTCTCCCTGCCGGGAACCAAACCCAGGTCTCTCACTTGAGAGGCGAGTACTCTAACCACTGAGCTACAGGACTCCACAAATGTAATGTAAGATGGAACGTTCGGAGGCACGAAGCTCAGATGTAAGGTTTAAAGGAGAATTGATGGTTGAACAATCTGCTTAGGTTCTGCCAGGCTCTGTGAGCTTGAATAAGATACTGGGAGGTTGATGTGGTCAGTGATTAAGCTGAGGAAATGCTGTCATGAGCCGAGCAGGATCGCCTCAGTTTGTTGACATTGAGTCGCAATGGAAGTTCTTTCACTGAAGTGAAGCTAAATTACAGTAAACTCCTGATAACTCGTCATTCTCAGGGAAAGTCTCTCCTGTGGGTCTGGACTTCTCAACCTCCCCGGGCTTTCCCGCAGACTAACCGAACTTGTGCACAACTTAGGCATCAGGTTCGATCCCCAGCTTTCCTTTCTAACACACAATTTCTCCACTTCTGCCACATTGCTCGCCTCCGTCCTTACCTCACAACCAATGCAGTCGAAACCTTTGTCCATGCCTTTGTCACTTCCCAGCTGGACTATTCCAATGTCCTCCTCGCTGGTCGGCCCAGTTCAACCATACCGAAAATCTAATTCGTTCAAAACTCCACTGTCCGGATACTCACCCAAACAAAACTCTGCTCCCCCATCACACCAGTCCTTGCCAGGCTCCACTGGCTTCCAATTACCGAACGATAGATCTCAAGATCCTTTAACTCATTTTCAAATCCCTTCATGCCCTCACATCTTCCTACCTATCCGACCTGCTTACCCCACCCACTCCACCACCCGGCTCCAGCCTCCGTGCGGCTGGCTCCGGCCTCCTGTTTGTCCCTCGTCTCCTCCGCTTCACCATCGGTGGCTGTGCCTTCAGCCACTATGCCCCGAAACTCTAGAACTCTCTCCCTCAGCCCCTCCACCTTGCCACCTCCCTCCGCACCTTCAAGTCCCACCAAAAGACCTTCATTTTTCAGGGGAAAGATGACTGGAGACACAGTCAAAGAAGTACGTTTTGAGATGTACCTTGAACGAGTAAATTGCAAAGTATAGTGCCTATTATTGTAGGCAACTGTGTACAATTCCCATCAGAACAATGAGGCAATATGCTGACGTTCTAACATCACCGCGCATAATACATCCTTTTCATTTTTTTCTTTTTCTTAGCGAAATGGGGGCAATTCTGACTCGTAAGGAATCACTGCTTGTGCCTCAGCGATGGATATTGAAAGGGTTTTACCCTGCTGTGATCATCAACATGCTCCATCCACCCTGAAGCTGGATGGTGGTTAGACGCCACCTGGTGGACTTGGACGTTACATTCTGAATACAAATGGTGTCTTTATTATTGCAAAGAATTTTAAAATAAGGTTGCTTTGCATTTTCTGAATCATTTTGTGGAAAGAAAATCCCTGGGTCTCAAACATTTATTCAATCACGGACAAAAGGCAAATACTTCAAGTTGTTTGCCTTGGTGTTCCCTCAGCCACAGCCAAGTAAAAGGATCCCTCCTTTGTCTTACCATTGGACCAATTTAATTGTGGTGCAACCCAAAACTCAACCTCCCACAACAAATGTGCGGATAAAACACCTCTGAATAATTGGTTACTGAGTTTGCCTACAAAATAGACGGTGACAATCATTTACTTTAAATCCTATGAAGTGCTTTGAGATGTTCGCCCAACGTGAGAGGAGCCATATCAAAATCAAAGCAAATTATTATATTATTATTACGATTATGACGAACCAAACATGTTGAATAACCATGCTGCAACCTCATTAAATCCTTTACTCATATTTTTTAAAGACATGGTAGTCAGTACTTTGGTTTAGTGAAACACCAGGATGTGAATCCAGAACTCCTGTCCTAAGTCAATGGAACTGCCAGTTTTTTTAATTTACATTTTCTTCATTTCAACAACGCAACATACAAAGTAGATAGCTTAGCTCAAAGGCTAGGCTGCACATGTTAAGTGCTATTTCCTATTTATTTAAGTTAGCAATTCATAATAATAAATAATATGTCACGCAAGACACCCAGGCTTCTAACAAATGTTTGATCTCGACATTCAGCCCATTATGCCTGCCCCGGCCCAGGCAAGATGAGCTGAATGGCCTCCTTCTGTGCTGTAGGATTCTACGATTCCATTACTAACTAGCAGCACAAATGCTAACGCTGAATGCTTACCCTGGTATCAATAACAATATCAACAAATTTCATTACAATGCAATACAAAATCCAATACAAAATGACATTTGTAACACCGTTCAGATCGGGAAGACATCCCAAGGCGCTGTATACCATTGTGTACCATAATATAGTTCCTTTCACTCGGGGCAGCGTCTCGGAGCGCTTAACAGTGGCGGAGCGGAGCCTGTTGCCGAGCAGTGGGGATGATAATTAAATCAACCATTATAATGGGCCTGGATGCATGACTTGATAACAATGATGACAATATCCTTGCATTTGCTATAGCGCCTTATCACATCTTCGAGACGCTCTCAAAGCGCTTCGCAGAATACACTGTAAAGTGAAACAAAAACACTTCACAGTATTAGCAGCGGGTCAGACGGCGTCTGTGGAGAAAGGAACATTTGGCTCGCTTTCCTTTCTCCAAAGATGCTGCCCGACCTGCCGAGTGTTCCCGGCCACTTCTGCTTCGGGTTTCAGATTGCCAGCCTCTGCGGTGTGTGGTTTTTTTTTTTGCTTTTTGTTTATATCTTGTAAAGTGAATTGCTGGTGGATATGTTTGTGGCAGAGTGTTTTTTTTTTTTGGGGGGGGTGGGGGGGGGGGGGCTGGACTCCTCCACAGAGGAGTGGTGCGAGGAGTGACTGACGTCGTGCTGGATCTCAGTGAGTGTGCGGGGGGGGGGAGTTGATGATAAAGTGCCTGCAGTGGAGTGGGAGGGAGAGGGAGATGGAGCGTGGACCTGGGTCTCCAGCGGGGGTTGCCCTGCAGTTCGCTCCGTCGCTTGAGCCGATCCGATCCGGAATCCACGGCCGACCCCCACGCCCTTGACGCGGACTCTCGGGGACAGCATAAAAGCGGCGGAGCGGCGGCGCCTGGGAAAACCTGGAGCTCGGCAGACATGTACCGGAGTCACAGGGCTCAGCGTTTCAAACACGCCAAGAGCGCAGGTGAGTCTGGGCTGAGGGGGGGGTTTGTACTGTGTTGTTGTTTTTTTTAAAAAAAAAATTTTTAAACAAAAGAATCCGTTCTGTGTTTTTAAACAGCTTCCAGGAAAGCGGAGGCTGCTTTTATTCGGGACAAATATCCACAGAAGATCCCAGTAAGAGCTCTGTATATATATATATGTGTGTGTGTGTGTGTGTTGGGGGGGGGGGAGGGGTGGGGGGTGTTGGAGGGTGGCTTTGGGATGGTCTTTTCCTGCTGCTAAATGGGAATGTTCCCCTCTGCAGGTCATTGTGGAGCGGTATCCCGGAGAGCTGTACCTGCCCTTCCTGGACAAAGCTAAATTCCTTGTTCCCCAGGAGATGACAATGTGCCAGTTTGTTACCATCATCAGGTGTGTAGCTGAGCATGGGGTGGGGGGTGGGGGTGGGGGTACAAATAAAACATGGGAGTCCTGGGTTCAACAACAACAACAACAACAACAAATTGCATTTATATAACAATTCATGTCCCGAGGACATCCCGAGCTGCGACAACTTCGGAAATGGATGGGGCTCCTGATGGAGCTTCTGTTGTCAACAGGTGCCCTGGTGCCTCCTGCTCTGCTGCCCGCAGCTTGGTGTGTGAACAGCTTGGGGGCACGTGGTAGGATTCTTGCCTCTGGGGCAGAAATTTGTGGGTTCATATCCTATTTGGGGACTTGAGCTCAGTCTAAGTTGTCTACCACAGCGGGATGCATTGTTGGAGCTGCCCTCTTTTTTCCGAGGTTTTAACCAAGATCTTTCCTACATGCTAAGGTCGATGCTAAACATTTTTTTTTCCTGATGTCTTGGTTTACAAAAAAATCTTTGATTAATTGGCTATGTATGTCATTGGCTTTCTGTGGGTGGAACTTTGTTTTTGTTTGTCTACCAAAGTAGCCCTTGGCTAATGATCTATGGTGCTTTGAATTATTTTATTGACAAGGGCAAAATGTGTTTCTTGGTGGGGGGTTTTTAAACTCGTACTGTTTTCTCAGGGATCGTCTGGCTCTGTCATCCAGTCAAACATTTTACCTGTTGGTGAAGAACCGAAGCTTGGTGAACATGTGCGCCACCATGTGTGAATTAGACCAGGATTACAAGGACTCTGATGGCTTTCTTTATATGACTTATGCATCCCAAGAGATGTTTGGCTCTTATTGGTCAAGGTTTGTTTCTGTTCCAGGGAAAACAAGAAGGTGGGAGCCTTGTGGGGTAGCCACTCAATTCCCCGGTACAATAGCTGATTTAGTCTAATGTGTCCTATGCATTTTTAACCCTACTACAACCTCCCCAAATGGTGGTTGGCCTCATCTTTTGAAGGAAATCTCGATTATCCTCAATGGACCGAAGAAATACACAAACTTATTTTCATCAAAATTGTGACTATGAAACTTGCACAACTTTTTTGTAAAAATAATTAAAAAAAAGAATTTGTGATAAGTTATGTAGTAAAGATGTGACTTCTATGTGGAGAGCACCTCCTAGACTGGGACAGCCTCCGGCAATCTAATTGGCTTTATGTGGAAGGGACTGGTGGGCATGATTTCATTCCATAAATATGAATTAACCTCAGTTCTTCTAGTAAACTTTCAGTGTTCCAATGTTTCCAGTTTAAATTATTTGTGTAGAAACAACTGATTTTGGTAGTTTTTACACATAGTCTCTAGAATTGCTATCCAGTGACTCTCTGCTGCAAAATGTGTTGAATTGGCTCAAGTGGGTTTGGATTAATAAGCTATTGGACAAAGTACCAGATGGCATCTGATGCCCAAGGCTTTGTACCCTGGCAAACATTGGTCCTGAAAGTGAGTATTTGTGGGAGGAGGAAAGTAGATTCCCCTTACCTTGAATGAGCCTACAGTGTAAAATATTTGAGTATATGGATGTTTTATTCAACAATCCCTTTAAAAGGGGATATGCTGGATTATATTGCATTCCTGATATAATAAATGCTGTTCTTGGATGAATGTATCTAGAATTTTTGGGGGGGAGGTTGACTGTTGTGTCATTTGTTTTGACAAATGCAATGATTGGAAGGACTTTAGATAATGTGTACCTGTATAAATCCCCTTCATGTGAATTTACAAAGATGGCTATGGACACAGGAAGAGGAAGGGATTATAGGCACAGTCAGAAGTAGGTTTTAAAGTTTTTTTATATAAAGGTGGAAGGAAGCAAGGTGGAGGGTGTTCCAGAGGCTGGGAATATAGTAGCTTGAGATTCAGCTGCTGATGGTGGGGATGGGGAATGTGCAGCTGGCCTGAGTTTACCAATTTTGTAGTGTTAAGCAGACAACAAAATATCCAATAACAAATGAGTGTTCCATCCCTGGAAAGAATTCCCCACATTGAAGGGAGCATACTGTTTGTCCTGTCACAAAACACTTGTTACACAAAATGCCACTGCAATTTAAACCCTTTTGAATGGTTACAGGATAACTCAATTCTCCAAGTCCTAGATGACACAGCATTCAGAATAGATGCAACTGTGACCAATGAAGATGTTGTGTTCTCAGGTGGCAAATAGGTTGTTTGGTCATATGATCTACCCCAACAATTGGTGGTTACACTGAATTGGCTTGCGAAAGCAAAGAGCAGACTTTAGAACAAGTATAAATTTCCTGTGAGAATGTAATAAGTGAAATACATGCCCTGCAGTCCTACATCAAGGAGTAGCTTGAGCTGCTCTTTTGATCCATCCCCAAACCTACATACTGTGCTTAATCATTAACTGAGGGTTTCCAACAGTATGTAACTACTTTCAACTAATTAAATCAAATGCTAGTTTGCATTTTCAACCATTCAACCTTTGAAATAAATCATAGTATAAGCTAGATTTAGAATAAGCAGTTTTGAGCAGCCTGCTTTCAAAAGATCAGTGTTGCAGGTTTCCGAGGAGATCCATCAATAAATCTGGGATCTAAGAAATTTAAGTCATGAGGAGAGGCTCACAGAGGTGAACTTGTTCATTAGAAAGAAGATATGAAATTAAGATTTAGCAAAGTGTTTGATTTGGATTGTGAAAGCAGAATTAAAATAATCCTTTTGTTTAACATAGCGACTCATCACACAATTTGTTTCAGGTTCCACAGGAAGGTGAAATGACTAATTGCAGGCAAATGTAGCAACTAATTTGTGCACAGCAATGTCCCACAAACTAAATAGTCATAGAAATTTAGAGTGCAGGTGGCCATTTAGCTCACTGGGCCTGAGGAAGCTTTACTTTCAAACAGATTGTCCTGTCCTATCCCCATCCTCCTAACTTTATATAGTCCTGTAGCTCAGTAGTTACAGCACTCGCCTCGCAAGCGAGAGGCCTGGGTTTGATTCCCGGCAGGGCGAAACCTTGGGCAAGTTTCCTTACTCCACACGGCTGGTAATAATCCCTCAAGAAAAAAAATAATAAATTGATCACTTCAATCCATGACTATTTGTGCGACACTGCTGTGCGCAGTTGGCCCCCACGTGTTGCCCACAAAATATAGTCAATTCACTTCACAGTATATACCTATCTTCTTCCTTCTTGAAACCCACAATAGACACCGACTCACTCACCAACAACAACTTGCATTTATATAGCACCCTTCATGCAAGGTAGTATCCTGGAGCACCAGGGCATTCCACCTCTACAACTGAGCGAAAAAAAATTCTAATTACTAACTTAAGCCGAAGAATTATTGATTGGGCAGGACTCCAGGAGTGACTCTCATGTTTTTGAATATAGCCTTGGGAACAAACATCCACCTGAACAGGCATACATAACCTTGGTTTAACTATCACAATGGAAGGATGGCATCGCTGACAACGCAGGACACCCCTACCTGATACTAGGTGACAACACACTTTTTCAGGAGAGCCAAAGACTTCATGTTGAGGGGAACTGGTGCCAATGCTAAAATTAATATCACAGCTGCAGTGCCTGGCAGTTTGTAGAAAAACTTTTAGAAATGGTTGTGATCTTCCCTCATCTTGAAAGGTTTCTGGCGCGCCTGGACTAAAGCCTGGTACAAAGTTCTGTTAGCATTCTCTTATAATACAAATTTACATGTATATAACACCAAGGTGATTAACACTCAAGTTGGGGGTGGGAGTTAAGGGGAGGGGGAGGGAGAAGATGACTGAAAGCACAGTCAAGGATAAAGCTTGAACCAGGTGTGGGAGGGAGCAAGTTGGAGACTCCAGGATGGAGTTCTGGAGAGTGGGTGCAGATTGGCTGAAAACCCACCTGCTGATGGTTGGGCAGGTAGGATGGGGAATATGAAGCAGGTTGGTGTCTAAACAAAAGGACGATCTGGACCAGTATGGTTTGAGGAGTTCACCTATAAAGGTCACCTATTTACCTATAAAGGAGGTAATGGGAGCATTTTCTGAGGACACAAAAAAGGTCACATTGCTTGGCTTTTGGTTCAAGTCTCCAAATAGGTGAATTTATCCATAATGTATGGAGTATTGGAACATCCATTTAAAAAATGTTTAATCCACAAAATGTTTCAACAACAACTTGCACTTATATAGCTCCTTCCACGCAGGGTAGAGTCTCAGAGCGCTTAACAGTGACGGAGCCTGACTCAGAAATGGTGAGAAGTGGCCGTAAACACGGTCGAACAGGAAAGGTTTCAGATGGGACTTGAAAGAGGGGAGGGGGCAAGGAGGGATTGAGGGAGAGTGTTCCAGAGTTTTGTGGCATAGTGGCTGAAAGCACAATCCCCAATGGTGGGGCGAAGGGCACAAGGGACGAGCAAAAGGCGGCAGGTGGTGGAGTGAGGCGGTCGGAGAGGTAGGGAGGTACCAGGGAGTGAACGGATTTGAACAGGTGAGTGAAGACGATGATCGAGTGAGTCGATCCATTTCGTGATGCAGAGCCTGGCCAGAACTGGTGCGATTCAGCATTATAGTACAGTATAACCAATTACACACTAGTTGTGATGGTTTACTCAAACTTGCCTGTATACTACCATAAGCCCTTAAATGAACTTAAATCACAACATTTACGATTTTATCCCAATACAAATTTGTCCTATCAGTCTTACTGAATTTACTTTACAGCTGTAGGATACAAACATAACACAAATAAGTTGTTTATTGAAAAATGGAGTTTTATTAAAACTGGTATTTATTGTGTTGGCCAAAAAGTGCCAGAATTCTTTCTGTACAGCACAGTTCTCTCATACAAATACCTCTTTTTGTGGAAAAAGTGGTTCAGTGATTTTATTTAACAGTACCATGGGTGCCAACTACAATTTAAAATATAAAATAAACAATTTACAGCTACAGTAAAATATTCAGTAGTCCATACATCCAACATAGATTTGTACTGTAACAGTATTAACACTTGATTCCAAAAAGCACCCGTGATACAAGCTGGAATGTGTAGAACATTCCCAAGCCTGGTTTACAAGTAAAACTGACAAACATAGGGCTTACAGTCCAATTACATCCATCTCATCTGTGCCACCAACTCAGATCTCACTTACATATCTGTTCTAAAGGAGTCTTCCATCACCATATTCAGTTAATACAGCCTTTTGTTTTTTCTCTAAGGCAAAAATATATGGACATAATTATCACATTGCTGAGGTTTGGACAGGTAGCGAGAAGTGGTCTGGTGACAAACTGGAGGTACAATTTTTTTGTAATTTTTTTATTAAAAAAATCTTTTTAAACCAAATAGATGGCTGCATTTCTGTGAATTTCCATTCAACTCATATAGGCTAAATATGTAAAATAATCAGAGCTCATATACCAATATGGCAGAATAATAAGGGGTCATTCAGTACAGTAATAGTCTAACATTTGGTCTACATTTATACACAAAAACACATGGGAATAAAAGCTTCATTACATACAACAGGCGCTCAATCAATTAACAGCATTAGTGATCTTTTTCATTCAGACCCAATATCTTTAATTTAAAATGATTTTAAGGCACAGAAACATAGTATACATCAGCCCAGCATCAGGAAAGAGTAGAACCCAGTAGTTTAATAAGGTATTAAAACACAAATGCAAGTGGTTAATACTGTATTATTTTAAAGATCCTTGGCTTTCAAAAAATATTTCAGCCAATTAAGTGATGAATTGCACATACAGTGACAACATGCAGGTTGTTCCCAATATTACCATTCAGCTTATAGGAAAGATCCGGGAGGAGGAGGGGTGATATTTCACACAAGAGATTGAAAGACTTTCCCAAAGGAGAGACAAGTCACTCTAAGGTGCTATCACACACTATTCAACATCCAGCTACACAGAGTG